GGCCATAGCAGCTGTAAAATAAAAGCCATAAAGCGGCTGTGAAGAAAAAAAAAAGGAGGAATCCTAGAACACACTAGGAATATGTGTGCTTGCAAAAATATTTTGGAAAAGTTGTAGGGACACACTGAATATTAGGTTGTGGATCTGAAGATTAACTGGATAAGAGCTCTGAGAACATAAAGTTGAAAGCCACAAGGATGGAAAATGTAGACACAAGATGACAGATGCAGGACTGGGAAGGTGGCTCAGTGGTAGAGCGCTTGCCTTGCATGCATGAGGCTCTGGGTTTGATTCCTCAGCATCACATAAGCAGAAAAAGCTGGAAGTGGTGCTGTGGCTCAAGCGGTAGAGTGCTAGCCTTGAGCTGAAGAACTGAGGGACAGCGCCCAGGCCCAGAATTCAGGCCCCATGGCCGACCAAAAAAAAAAAAAAAGAGAGAGGAAAAAAATGACAGATGCAGGAAAACTAAGAATTTCCAAAGAAGGTAGCAGGAACAATAGAAAGGAAGAAATTATTCAAAATATTAGTGGGGATGATGGGGAAAAAGAACCTACTAAGAAAGACAGGAAGAGCCCACTGAGTGGCCTGTTGGAGAGTCCACAATTTTGTTTTCTGTAAAGAACCAGGTAATATTTTAGGTTTTATAGACCACAAGCCTTGACTCTTCATTGTACCACAAAGGAAATTGACTGTTTGAATAAACCTTATTTGAATAAACAGGCAATAATGTGGCTTTCTGACCCCATCTTCCTGGAAGAAGAGGGGAAAATGTCACATCTACAGACATTCCTCATTAACGTTTTGCCCCAGCTAGCCTTCAACTAGGATCCTTCCAATCCCTGCCTCCTAAGTAGCTGAGGTGATGGCCATGAACCAACGCACCCAGCTTTCTACAACCAGAGGCTAAAAACAAATACCATAAAGTAAACTTGGTCACTGCAAACCTTTGGGAAAAGTTGAGTGAGATAAAGAAGTCTGGTAATTATGCTCATATTGCAAGTCTGAGGGTGCAATCATTCTTTTGTAAGCATTACTTGGTCTTAACCAATCAGAACACACCCTTAGAGGGAGGAGGACGGGGATTCTACATCTCGAGAGACCTGCAGAGCCTGGGTCCCCAGTTCCAGGGCCCTTGTTTAACACATAGAAAACATTTTCCATTATGAGTCCTCCATGGAGTATCTCGCCATTGCTAACTCATAAATACCCCAAATGGAAATTTCTCGCTATACAAAGTTGCAGTCTCAAATGATTCTGTTCACTACAGCCGGTCAGTTTTGTCTTTGTAAGGCCAAGTTAGCTTTGGTAGGTGTTGGCCAAAATGTTTCCATTTAGAAAGGACCTCTGAGGTATTTTTTTGTGTTAAATTTGTATTGGGTAGACACAATCATACTTGCTCCAAATCTCCAGGAATATGAACACGAAATTTGATTTTATGTAGTCTTATCATTACGACGATAGAAAACAGAACCTAAAAGAAATACAAAAAGGGAAGAGGAGGAAAAGCGCTAGCAGAAAGATCATTAGCAGTGTTTAAAAAAAAAACTGTGTACTCTCATTTCCAATTTAATGATTGCGTCGTAAAAATTGCTCTCTTTTTACACAAGGCACACGCCATTTCAATTTCACAGGAAAAATAAAAATGGGACTGCACACTGCCTTTGAAAAGCTGACTTTGATCAGATGCCAACTGGGAAAAGGCTGGATTTAAATTTTAAATTGTCTGCCTTCAGAAAGGCATGATAGAGGACATATTTAGGATGTAGCCTCTTAATTTAACATTAAACTTCCTGAAAAATGTTCTCACTGGTTATTGACGGCTCTGTATTCAAAAGGAGGCTTCTCTTCAATCTTGAGGAGTTGGAAAGACAGGTGTTTCTCTCCTCTCTCTCTCTCTCTCTCTCTCTCTCTCTCTCTCTCTCTCTCTCTCTCTCTCTGTCTCTCTCCCTCCCTCTCCCTCCCTCATCCTCTTCCTCTCTCTCTCTCAGCAGAACCCTAACCAGGGATCCAGATTTCAAATGAAATGTATGTAGTGAAGCATTTTGCTATGAAAATGAATGTTGTAAAAAGAAAGACAGACAGACAGACAGACAGACAGACAGAAAGAAAGAAAGAAAGAAAGAAAGAAAGAAAGAAAGAAAGAAAGAAAGAAAGAAAGAAAGAGAAGAAAACCGTGAGATGCTGCCAGAAAAAAGAACATTTCTCTTATATCCCTACAATTCTGAGGATCTTTGTGATGACTGGACAGAGCTCGCTCCTGAGGAGGTGTGGCGTAGAACCAGCTGTTACTTTTATCCTTTTCTTCATCTCCTGGAATGTGTCTGGAATGGCTTCTGGTGTTCAATAGCTAGCTTACTTTGTTTTGCTCTCGTATATCTTTAGAAGCCGTATTTGTGTATGTTTTGAAATGTGGGACACAAATAAGTAATTACAGCCGACAGGAAGTAAGCAGACACTCAGGAAGATGATAGAGAACACTGTAAATAAATCAATTACATGTCTGCCATTATGGTTCCCAATGTGTTTGGGCAAGATGACCAAATATATTGAAAAGCAGATTCCAAAACTGTTCACGTTTTTGACACTGTGTAATTATTTCCTTCCCAATACAGTCTCAATCAGGCCTGGATCCTCTACATTTGTTTACCAAGGGCTTCTTTCCAGGTCTGGCTTGTGTTGCACACCCATAATCTCAGCTACTTGGGAAGCAGAAATAGGAGGATCACAGATTGAGGCCCCACCTGGAAAATAAACTAAAACACAAAGGGCTAGAGACATGGTTCATGAGGTAGAACATCTGCCTGGCAAGTGTGAGGTCCTAAGTTAAAAACTCCACAGTAAAAGCCACAGTTTCAAGTATCCTGATTAGATAGTTCTTTTTATCCATATTATCCTTTTATTTTAATTACTACAATTCTATCAACACCAATCACCTGTGTCGACTCATCATACATCAGTTAGTTGTAGCCTCTGTTGTGTGAAAGATGAGACAACATTAATTAAATCAGCACAAACGTAAAATCACTTTCTGGACCCCAAGCACCCAGACCTCTGTGGCTTTTCCAGCCATGCACTGTGGGTGGGGGTGGGGATCTTCCATTACCTCTACCTGGTCTTGCTGGCTGCCTTCACCTTCTACACTGTTCTTACCTTCTGCATTCAGCACGTGCCTTGTTTAGAGCCCTCCACTTACCCAGCACCCACCTTGGCACCCACCTCCCCCTCCAGCCTCACTCTCCACCCTTTTCTTATCCTCCCACTATCCCCTCGTCCAATCTCTCCACTTACTTCTCCTTTCTCTGGAGTCCATTGTTTATTTTTCTCTGTGTATGTGTATGCATGCGTGCGTGCGCATGTGTGCGCACGCCAATCCTGGGAATTGAACTTGGGACCTGAGCTTTTTTTCACTCACTCAAGGCTAGCACTCTACCACTTGAGCCACAAGTAAACTTGTGGCTTTTTCATGGATTAATTGGAGTCTCACAGATGTTCCTGCCTGGGCTAGCTTCATACAACGATCTTCAGATCTCATCTTTCTGAGTAGCTAGGATGACAGATGTGAGCCACCACACTGGCTCCATTGTTTAATAGTTTTTAATCAGAGTACAGTTTGTGTGAGCTACGTAACGAGTCTGTCATTTGATGGCTTGGCTGCAGTTCTCTACAATGATGCAAAGTCAGTAGAACGCGCACTTGGACTTTTGAATGGTGGCCTTCTCCCTGGCTGGTGGCAGGTGGTATGATCCTCTTTGGAGAGGCTGGGCAGTGATCCACAGCCTCTCATCAGACTATTGATCAGGGAATAAACCCATCCAAATTCTGCTGTGTGGTGAGTTGCTAAGTTGCCGTCTTCGGAGCGCTGGGCATCTCCGATGCATTTTCAACTGTGCTGTCTATGTGTGTGAGACGCAGCATTGAAGACGGGTTTGTGCTTGCCAGGCAGGTCCTCTACCCTGAGAACCGCATTCCTTTTGGCTTCTATTATTTCCCCAATGTGCCTATTAAGGCTGAAAAGTCCCCCCCTCCACAAAAAATTGTAGAAAATTCCCTCTGGGTTCTATTCCATATCAATCTCACTAAACTCCCCAACTCACCAGGAACTCCAAGCCCTCAGCTCTGCCCCTTCTTTCAGACTCCTGTGACGCTATGCCCTCTCTGCTTTTCCTTACAACCTCTCATCACATTCCATCCCACAGGTTTTATTTTATTCTTCAGTTGAATTGAAAGTGCGTAGTGAGTCAAAAATCTTACATTTGTGCTTTGTATTGTAACCATGTGGCTAAACTGCAAGAAGACAAGAATGCTAAGATCTCTGTGAATAGAGGGTCTTACGTTCCGTGCCAAGGCGAAATAATTGCAGGATAAGGAGAGTGGAGGGAATGGGCTGGGAGGAAGCTGTGTTCAACCCAGACACTCAGGGACCACGCATGGAGAACTCTGGAAGGTAAAGTTCAGGAAAACCTCTAGTTCTTCATGCAGGGCACTTGTCTTCTGCAGAGAAAGACACTGAAAATCACGCCGGGGCCTTTGGCTGCCTTCTACAGACCACCAGAACTTGGGGTGGGGTGGTAACCCCTCCTTTCTAGTGAAGAAAAGGGCTGCCACATCAGAGGGCCATGAATACTGTTTGCTGTGTGCATATGCAACACCCCTGCGTTCTAGAGCTCATGAACTCCTTTGAGGATCTGTTGATTGCTATGAGTCTTCTCCAGATGGGAAAAAATAAAAGAACATAAGATACCCAGAAATAGTGGACATTTGTACAGCATCCATGTACTCTGAGCCCTATTCATTAGCCCTGCCCGGTGAGCCCTGGCCCAGGCTGTGACTCCTTCCCCCGCACCCACAGGCCTGCTTCGCAGCTGGCCCCAGACACCGGGTGCAGAAAACACGTTAGCAGTGTTCTGTTTTGACTTTGTTCAAGTACGTTACCCGACATTTCCCAGATCTGGCCTCCTACAAGACCCGTGGGCAGCAGATTTCCTTCTGTGTTTCATCAGGAAAAGTTCGAGGGGCTGTTCCGGACTTACGATGACTGCGTGACGTTCCAGCTCTTTAAGAGCTTCCGGCGTGTCCGGATAAACTTCAGCAACCCTAAATCCGCCGCCCGGGCCAGGATAGAGCTGCACGAAACCCAGTTCCGAGGGAAGAAATTGAAACTCTACTTCGCACAGGTAAGGAGATTCTTCACTCCAGCATTTGTCCCAAGTGTCTTTTCGTTTTCCTTTCTAAAATGTAAATGGAGCCCTTTAGGACATTTGGTTTTGTTGCCAACTGAGAAGTAGACCCAGGTCAGAGGGGCAGCCTGTGGCTCGGAGAGCAGGCCAGGGAGTCCCACCGGCTCTTACCAGGACAGTCAGGCTAGTTCACTGCGGCTTGGGCTCCTCATCTGCAAAACAGAGGCCAAAGTGACCCACGGCCCATGCCATGGCTACAAGGACTAAACAAACTGTTGTGGCTCAAGTGGTAGAGCTGCTGGCCAGTAAGTCCAAGGCCTGAGCTCAAACCCAGGAGGAAAGAAGAAAAGGAAGGAAAGGAAGGAAGGAAGGAAGGAAGGAAGGAAGGAAGGAAGGAAGGAAGGAAGGAAGGGAGGGAGGGAGGAAGGAAGGAAGGAAGGGGCAGGGAGGGAGGAAGGAACGAAGGAAGGAAGGAAGGAGAGAGAGAAAGAGAGCAAGAGAGAGAAATAAAAAAGGAGAGAGAAAGAAAGAAAGGGAGGGAGGGAGGGAGAGAGGGAGGGAGGAAGGAAGGAGAGAGAGAGGAAAAAAAGAGAGAGGGAAGGGGAAAGAAGAAAGAAAGAGAAAGAGAAAGAGGAAGAAAGGAAGGAAGGAAGGAAAGAAGGAAAAAGGAGATTGGGAGGCAAGGAGGGAGGGAGAGAGAAAGAAAAAAGGAAGGAAGGAAGGAAAGGAAAGGCAGAGAGAGAAAGAGAGAGGGAGGAAGGGAGGTAGGGAGAAAGAGACAAAGGAAGAAAGAAGTAACGGAAGACAGAACAAGCAAGGAAGGGTTGGGCTGAAGCTCAGGCTCAGGCTCCACAAGGCATATTTTCCTAAGGCCCCAGGTGATCTTGCATCATGCCCAAGGTCAAACTCCATTTTCTGGAGGACAAGCACATGTGGTGGGTAATACATAGTAATTACTACTAACATCTGGTGCATCTGTCACAAGCTGAAATAAAGCCCCACACCTTAGTCCACCCACCTAGCACATCCAAAGCCATCGTCAATGACGGGCCACATGTGCACTCTGTTTGGAAGGTTCAGGCGCCGGAGGCAGATGGAGACAAACTACATCTGGCACCCCCGCAGCCTGCCAAACAGTTCCTCATCTCCCCACCCTCCTCGCCGCCTGTGGGCTGGCAGCCCATCAGCGACGCCACACCGGTCCTCAACTACGACCTGCTGTACGCCGTGGCCAAGCTGGGTCCAGGTAAGCGCTTGGCCCGCTAAAGAAAAGCCTAATCAAGCATGTGTCAGCAACCCAGAAAAGCCTCTGCTGCAAGCGCGGGCTGGTGCTCACATCTGCATTTCCCATGGGTTTGTTGCTGTTCTGCTCTGCGTGGACAGCTGCGTGGACGGAGGACCAATGCAGTGGGAACGCCCCACCGCAGGGAGCTCAGGCCTCAGGCTGCGGCACGCAGGGTAGATGTCTCTGATCTGGACGTGTTACCTAGTTCTGAGATTCTTCTGCACAGCATGACGAAGCTGCTTGCTCAAAACTGGCAAAATGGGTTCTGGCGGCTGCCAGGAGGCTCCTATGCTGCCAGATACCTAGTCTTATCATTGCCACAGGTATTCATTCTACACCCAGGAATCCTCTGCCGCAAGACACTCTGCTTGCCAGAGAGAACTGTCTTTTCTTGTTGTGGGGCAGGGGGTGGGAGGAGGGTGGCTTCTCCCAAGTTATACAGTTCATTTCCAACATGGTGTTCTGTGAGTATTGCTGTGGCATTGCTCACCGGTTCGCCCTTTGTCCTTTGTCTCAGCACTTTGTTGTTCCCCTTCCCTTCCCTAATTCAGATAAACGTATATACAAGACACAGGGTACCAAAATCAAATACAGTGACAACAGGGGATAAACGTAGGGGGAAAAAAGAAAGAAAAAAGAAATCACATAGTACATTAAAAACAACAACTAAGAAAAACCTCTTGTTTCCATATCTTGGAATTCATTTTGCTTAGCATCATCTTAAATGCTCATATGTACATAGTTATTGAGATATTGTGATCCTCTTCTAGACATATACTAATTATTACAAATGAGGGAAACAACCGTAGAGCCTATGTTTCTTTGGATCTGGCTTACTTCACTTAATATGTTTTTTTTCCAAGTCTTTTAGTTCACACACACACACACACACACACACACACACAGAGAGAGAGTCAGTTGCATTAAAGAATCTAACTTTAGAAGAGTATTGGTTGCAATCCCTTGCTTCTGGTGTTGGCCTTTGAAGCTCTGAGTCACTCATTTTCATTGCAGTCTAGTATTGCATTTTATGAACACAGCACCTCACTTTATGAACCCACAGTGTTGTTGCTAAGTGTTTAGATCATTTCTGGGAATTTGTTCTTGCAGTCAGGTCAGCCTATTCCTGTGTATTGGGATGTGCAAAGTACAGCTCATGTGTACTTTGTGGTGGGCAACAGTGAGCTACCACGGTCCTTTGGTTTTCCAGGAGGTTTTAGTGTGTGTCCTTGGAGTAGCTGCAGCTTGAATGTCTTTTCTGAGACATCTTTCTCTCCGTTCCTTGCCAGCCATTGGAGACTGTTTCCCTTTCCAGCCCCACTCCCATGCTGATAACTAATGTGCATCTATTTAATAACTGAGCTGAAACTGTCACCTAGGGTGTACTGGACACTGCCATAGGCCATGTCTGTTACTGAAACAACCAAGACAGAGTTGCTTATAAAGGAGAGATGTTTGTTTGGGCTGATGTTTCTGGAAGCTAGGAAATCCAGGAACATGGTGCCAGATAGTTCAGGAGGGATGCCCCTGCTTTCCAACAGCTGAGAGAGAGAGAAAGAGAGAGAGAGCTTGCTCACATGAGAAAGATAAGAATCATCCATCATTGCTCTACCTTACCCACCTCCCAACATGGTGAGAGCCTGAACTTTTGAAGGACACCCTCAAACCGTAGCAGAGGCACAAGGATGGAGCAGGGCTGTACCCCAGAACCCACCCCCATCCCTGTCCCCAAGAACTAGAACTTGGTCTCTTCCTGCCTCTGTGCACGGATTGGAGATGTATGTCTTACTCATTTTTGAGGGTTCCATACTTGAAAGCACATTGGACAGAGTAGGCACACAGTAAGCAGGGAAGAATGATGGAATGCAGACATGAGGGGGAAGGTTCTCGATTACCGTGCTGGGAGGCAGCGGCTTTACTAACAGATTAAATATTAAAATCCACTTCTCCAGAAGAAATCCAAGGTGTAGTGAAAAGAATAGTGTCTTACAGTGTCTTGTTGCTCCACATTGGCTCTCCCTTCCTTGCCCTCAAAACACACCCACTGCTTCATGGATCCTCCCCTCTCCTCTAACATTGAAAAGCCAATGGAATGGGCAGGCCAGAATCTGCTACCTTTGCTTTGATTAAGGGTCTTTTACTCTCTCTAAAACAAAACAAATGAGCAGAAAGCATGAAGGCTTTATGAATATCCTGGGGGAATTTGTAGAAGCCTGATATTCACTTGTGACCTGGACAAAGGAAGATGAGTTCTGGCCTGGAAATGGAGAATGAATTGAATCATTATTAGCAATTAATTTAAAATATTAATTATTCCTCATTCCCAAAGCAATGGAGTACTATGTTCTTTTTTTATGTAAAAAAGAGGAAAAAATAAAAACCCCACCATAGCAAAACAGCTTATCTATACCAATCAGAAAAAATAACAAGGCCAAATAAAGACATATGCCCTTCTGCAGCTCAGTACATCAGAGGCAGACAAGGCTGCCTGCCTTTGTTCTGAGCTCTGGAATGGCTGTGAAAGGTTATGTCATTGTTGCTCAGATACCCATAGGGACCAATATGAAAATGCCATTGTCTATTCTCTTTTTCCTCCTGCTATTTTTAGCTCTTGTTAGGGAGATCAATTTCTGTTAACTGCAGAGAAGGGTTTAAAATGGTGCTTGAGATTCAAGTTGCGTAGGTCTGCTATATTTAGAATTTTATCCTTCCTCCAATTCTGCTGTATCAAAACATGTGGTAGTAAAGCAACATTGCAAGGGTTCTTCTTGATACATACTGTTTTCCTCCAAATGCAAACAAATGTGTATTTTACTAATTGACACAACTCAGGAGGAAAAAAACAGCTTCTATTCCAGGCTGTGATTCAGAGATTGAGAAAACTCGGTTGTTAAAATATAGATGAGCGCCTATATTTTTGGTGCATGTACGATGAATATTACATTAAGTCTCAGGTCTTGTTCAGCAATGGCTATATTCTGACCAGAGACATGAAAGGCAGACACTGCAGCTAGTACCTGTCCCTATGCATACTTCACCCTGCAAGGGCCCTGGGCCTGTGACCCTGGGCAGCATCCTCTGGCTCACGTGTCCTTTCTAAGATTCTCCCCTGGGAAGTTTCTAAAGGGCCCTTTTTCTTCTCAGTGTATGTTCTTCAATCACTACTGAGTGGCAAGATAAAAATACTTGCTTCCCTGATTTCACAGGTAAGATGAGCATATTATAGAATAATTGAAAAGATTCCTTGGGAAAAGATCAATCACAGAATTTTTTTTTACCATCCCCAAATCAGTACTTTAAACCACTGTGATACTTTTCTTTCACTTTTTCCTTTATGGGTGTATGCATGTGTTTGTGTGTGGATGCAAGTGTATATAACATGTTCCCATAGAGAGAGAGAAGAAGAAGAGAAAGAGGGAAGGAGGGAGAGAGAGAGGAAAGGAGAGAGGAAAGAAGAGGAAGGAAGGAAGAAAGAAAGAAAGAAAGAAAGAAAGAAAGAAAGAAAGAAAAGAAGGGAGGGAGGAAGGAAGGAAAGAAGGAAGGAAGGAAGAAAAGAAGGAAGGAGAGGAAGGGAGGGGAGGAAGGCAGGAAGGAAGGAAGGAAGGAGAGGGAGGGAGGGGGGAGGAAGGCAGGAAGGAAGGAAGGAAGGAAGGAAGGAAGGAAGGAAGGAAGGAAGGCGGGCCCTATGGCTCCTGTAGTCTTCCTCATAGGCTCTTTGTCCCAACCATTAATTCATGTCGTCAATCACTGAATCTCATAAAGAACTTTAGGTCCTATATGTCTTGGAGGCAGTGAAGATAAATGGCCACCCTAATACAGTATCAGAAACCTCCAGAAAGCACAGATTCCCGTTTGTTGAAATAAATCTCCCCTCATAGCAAATCTGCCGAGCATTCTTCCTCTCCCCCTTGCCTTCTTCCTTTCCACCTTCCCACTCTGTCAGTATCGCATGAGATATCTTTCTTTGCTCCTTTTGGATGTAGATCGGGGCTTGGGATAAGGAAGGAGAATTCTGGGTACTTGTGTCAGCACAAAGTCCCTCCCCCACCACCTGAACTTCTCACCTGAATGTGAGGGGCAGTATATTGGGGATGCCATGTTAGCCAGCCCTGAAGAGAATGCTCTGCTTTTCTCTAGGTTCTACCACAATCAAAAAAATATGAGTCCATGAAAGGGAAGGGGTCAGAGAGGAAACCTTCACAGAAGACTTGATTCCTTGGACTCTTTCTTTTGATCTTGAATCCATTATATTATGCTTTAGAAAACCAGGTTTGTTCTGCTCTGATGAATGTTATAAAGAGACAGTGACCAACTAGCTGTGATTTTCAAAGTTTCCAGTAAATCCTTCTACCCCAGATTATCTTTTGTTTCATGAAGCTCCGTCAGGGAGACAGGGTTTTCTCTTGCCTGAGGATGATGATTACAAATCAAGATTCAAGATCCATCTTTAATTGGCTGCCTGCTCTTGAACAAGTACCTCAGGTTCCTGAACAGTGAAATTAAAAGACCAGCATCACATGAGATAACCCATGTAAAGCTATTTGTCCAGCTCTGTATGGTGCCTACGTATTATCATCTTGTCTTCAAGTTGTACCTTAGGCTCCCATGGTGCCTATGGTAAACTCAGGTTCAGTGTTTCTCAAAAAGAATGCCGCTCTCTTTGGGGACTGGTTTTTGTACACTTCACAGGACATTGCGCATCCCTGAGCCTCCTACTCAATGCCCCATCACAGTCCTCGTGGCCCAACAACAAAATCCCTTTTGCAGACTACACTGGAAACGTGGCGTTTGTTTGAGAACCAAGCCAACGACCCTTGCTTGATGGAGACAAATAGTGGTTGGGACCCAGAGGTCCTGACCATCAGAGGTGTGGGAGGAATGCCAGGACTCGGGGAAGTAGCATCCACCTCAGCTCGTCCCTCCTGCTCCCTTCACTCACAAAAAGCAAGATTGCCAAGGCC